ATACAACTAACAAAATTTGCTAAGGGAAGGTGGGCAGCAAAATTAAGCTACTTACTGACTCATCTGTTACAGGTTAAAAAACAAAGGCTAGTTTTTAAAGCTGACCAATCAAGTAATAGAAAGAATAAATACTGTCTAAAGAAAGAGAACACTATAACCATGAAGGTAAACACTAGAACAAAAGAAAAAATTTTCTAATTATTATAAAAACTACAGTATTACATGACCAAAAAAAGGCTAGAAAAACATAAACAACAAGGATGGGGTACAGCTCAGTGGTACAATGTGTGCTTAGCATGCACGAGGTCCTGGGTTCAATCCCCAGAACTGCCATTTAAAAAAAAAGTAAATAAAATTAAAAAAAAAAAGTAACCCCGCCAAAAAATTTTAATTAATTTTTTTAAAAAACAAATAAATGAAAGTCTTTTTTAAAAAATGATAAAAACCAGAAAATATAACATAAAACAAAATGCAGAATTAAGCCCAAACATATCAAAAATATGACTGGACTTTCACTTGTTAAACTGAAATGATGTCCAGACTGGTTCACAAAGCAGAACTCAACTCTATACTGCATATAAAGCCCATATTGAAAACAAAGTACTTTAACAAAGTTGGAAATAAAAAGATGGATAAAGACACTAAAGAAAGCATAAAAAGGCAAGAAACAGATTCTCTCCTAGAGCCTTCAGAAGGCAGGCAGGCTGCTGACATCTTGATTTTAGCTCTGTAAGACCCACTTTCAGCTTCTGGCCTCCAGAGATAGAAGATAATAAATTTGTGTTGCTTTAAGCCACTAAATTTGTGGTAATGTGTTACAGCAGCCATAAGAAGCTAACACAGAAAGCAGACTAGTACAACCTCTGGAGGGGAACTTGGCAATTCCTAACAAAACTTCATAAGCAATCTCACATCTTGGAAACTACCCTGAAGATAAAGCCTCAACAAAAGGAAAATACATATGTACAAGGTTATTTATTGTAACATTATAACTGTAAACTACTGCAAACATCCTAAATGTCCACACGTTAGTGAGTAGCTGCATAAGTTACTGTAAACTCCACATGACGAGCATTGTGCAGCCATTAGAAAAATGAGGAAGCTCTCCATGAACTAATATGGAGTGAATTCCTGTGCAGCTGACCCTTGAACAACTCAGGGGTCAGGGGTCTAACTTTATAATCAGCCCTCTGTATCTGGGGTTCAGCACCCACGGGTCCACAAACTTCGGCTCCTGTACTATTTATTTTTAAAAATTTGCATATAAGTGAACCCTTGAAGTTCAAACTGTGTTGCTCAAGGGACAACTGTACATATACGTGTGTACGTGTGTGTGTGTGTGTGTGTGTGTATGAAAAGAGCAAAATGCAAAGAGTATCCATGGCATACTACTCTTCATGTAGCATATAAAGAAATACAAGAAACTACATATGTATTTGTTCACTTGTGCAAAAGAAACATAAAAAGGACAAACCTGAAAATAAAGAGATTGGTAATCTACAAGGGGTAGGTAAGGAAGGGGCAGGAAGGAGTAGGGAACAGAGACAGGACAGGAGGGATGAGGAGGGAGCAACACTTTTCTGAGGCTATATTCTTGTAAAGACCTGATTCTTAGGAACCTAGTTTATAAGACCGAGCAGGCCCTCCCCCCAAGGACAAAGGCCTCTCCATGTCCCCTGCCTCTTGTTAGTAGAAAAACTGAAGTTTCCCAAGCCTCCCTAAGTCACTAAAGAGCAAGATCAAGTCTTGCTTGACAGGACAATAGAGTCACAGAATCTTTCAGTGTCTAATGTACATTCCTGAGTTGTTGTACAGATTTTATAACTGCCACCAGAGGGAAAAAACTAACTGCATGATGACCAGGCTGCAGCCATGACATCAGCTGCTCCATCTTGAGCAGTGCTGAAATCTACTGCCAGCACAATTCCAGGAACTGGCCTCAAGAGAATGGGATTAATGCTGTTGCTCATAAGGAAATGTATTTTTGTGGGCATCAAAATAATTGTAGCTTGCTTTGCCCATATATATAAGTAGGCAACTAAAGTTGCCAGTAATGAGATGTTACAGACCCATGTCAACATCTTCCACTCTGAGAATATGGTGCCCTATGTCAGCATGAAGAAGTTACAGAAGACAGACCTCCTGCCCTAATCCCACAGAAATGGAATGATGTCTGACAAGTGGGGGTTTATAAGCAGTTCTTTTTGCCCTTTCCTGTTTGCCTACTTCCATTCCCCTGAAACCTTAATTATAAAAATGAGATCCCTAGGTAATATTTAACCTAACTCCTGACATGCTCTACTGAATGCAAACAATGCCTTGCCTAACCTGTTGATTCTGTTTCTAGATTAAAGAAATAGGAACAAAGAATTAAGTAGTTAAAGAATTAAGAATTAAGTAGTTAAAGCTCTCTATCCCCAGCAGCCCCCTTAACAGTCCTGTAGGCAGACCATGTGGGCAAGATAACATCAGAAAAAAAGATCATGTGAAGTCAACCAGTCTACACACAATGGAAAATGATGCAGAACCTAACCTCCTGCCTCAATGATTAACTGAGATTACTTTCCCTTTTTTTCCCTTTAAAAACTGTCATGGCTGAGCAGAATCTTGAAAGTTGGTTTCGGGGACATGAGTCCACCTTCTCCCCAGGTTGCCAGTCTTCTGATTAAAGCAACCTTTCCCTTCCACCAACACTTGCCTCACGAGTACTGGCTTTTGAGTGGTGAGGAGCCAAAGCTGAGTTTGGTAATAGTAATGTTTCAGATACTAAAAAAATAAATGCAAAACAATAAAAACCAACCAGGATGAGGCAGAAATCAATAGTAACAAATGAACCTAGAAGAACTAACTTAAATCACTTTGGAAAATAGTTTTTAACTGAATTCTTAAGACTAAAAAAATACTTATATCTACATACAAATAATGTAATATAGATAGTAAATTTGTTTCTCACAGAGGAATAGGTTAGAAATTCTGAAACTACTTTATATGTATATTTAAACTGAGCAAAAAATTAAATACATCGCTTCTCATTGTCAGACAAAGAAATAACAAATAAGTAAAGGAGGAAGGCTACGATAAACCCTGTGGAGCAGGACTAGAATCAAGGTGTCAATATACACTGAAAATTTTAATATAATAAAAAATGAAGCAGAAGTAAATATAGAAGTGTATGTCTGTTCTTGTGTGTTGGTATATATACATATATTTCCCACCTCCATCTGCCAGGAGGGCCTAGAAGAAATGACATCCAAGTAGCAATGAGCACACCGATCACCCAGACCTTGGCTTCTAAATAGCATTTCCCAATAAAAACGGCTCCTTGGAGAAGTGGTTGATTCAAGGATGGAACAAGAAAAACAAGATGAACTTGGAACACCTGGAACCATAGAGGAAGGCAGTGCTCAAAAAAATGGATGGGGGCATGTTAAAAGATCACAGGAATGAACTTGAAGGAGATCCCAATGGTCAAAGCTGAAACAACTTGAGCAACAAAATAATGATTCAGTAGTTCTACTTCATAGAAGAAAAATCCATCATTCCATATATATGAAGAAATGATTCAAAATATAAACAAAGGGGAGAGATGGAACAGCTCTTCCCAACCAAATAATCCTAGTTAATATGTGTAAAGAAAAGAAGGAAACAAAAGTATCAATGTCAGGCCAATATCACAGCATTAATTGTAGCAGACAAGATCCAATGGGCCAATGGATGCTAAAATCAGTGGGCAAAAGTTCCAGAAGAAATTGAGTAATCTCAAAGTGTTTCCTCCAAATATTTATTAATAATAAATAGAAAAACTGTAACTTTACAATGGAGAAACCAAGCAGACACCACTTTCATCAAGTGACGAAAATTAACATCTTTGATAACAAGACACATCAATATTATGACTCCTTTAGTATGATGCACTCACCGAGAGGGACACATTATTCCTGCAGCACTCTTCACAAATGCATTACCTCCATCTAATCATGAGAAAACATCAGATAAACCCAAATAGAATGCAAGAAAATGTAATGAGCCATCTGTTAGAGTGAAGCATATCTGAAGACTCTGGGAGAGATTTCTCTAAGAAGATAAAATCAATAGATAACCTAATGTGTCTGAGTGTCTTAAGAGATTTAGATAATTTAGATGCGGAGTTGAGAACTGAGTTAGGAACATGTATATAAAAAACTAAGGGGGAAAAACAAACAGGAAAAAAAATCCAGAAAATCATTAATGCCAGGAAAAATATAAAGTTGACAGAAAAAGTAATCCTGGTACATGCACAGCACGGCTATGACTAGCACTTAATAGCCATAATAATGTAAACGATGATTCAATCAAAATTATGATACTGGTGAGATAGGGAGATGGCAAAGTGTGTGTGTGTGTGTGTGTGTGTGTGTGTGTGTGTGTGTGTGTGTAGTGTGTGTGTGTGTGTGTGTGTGTGTGTGTGTGTGTGTGTGTGTGTTACAAGCATGTGTTGGATTCAGGATAAGAAAGTACTAAATTCTTATTTTCTTAGAAGATACTGGATGAGGACTAAATCCGAAAAAAACAGTCAAGAAATAGCAACATCACATATTTGTTAGAGACATGAAGAAAACACCAAAAAAAAAACTACAAAAGTGAAGAAAGTAGATCCCTCTAGGGAGAGGGAAACTGGGAAGCAGGGCGAGAGACTGCGTTTTTTTAAGGGAGCAACCCTTGTGAGAGTAACCCTTGTAAGACTACTTGTCTCTTCAACCAATGTGCCTACATAACTTCAATAATAACTTTGATAAAAATAACTCTGAAAAGAACTCTAGAAATGTATACAATTCTGCTCATAAAGGGGAAAGAAGAACTGAGAAGGAATGAGATTCAGGGTATAGGCAGAAGTATTCTTGAGAGTATAACTTGATAGAAATAGAGAGGAAAAGACCCCCTGACGCCCAGGGCAGCCTTCTCATGACCAGCTGGGCTGGCACCGTACAGCAGCCCTCCCCGCCCGGTTCCCCGTCACTTACCAGCATACTGACCATCTGACATCTCTCGCTCCACCAACCAAGGTTCCTTCCCTTGCTCCAATAAGGAGATCATGTTGGGCTTAGAAATGGAGAGCCCTGTTTACAGGAAAAGAAAAATGAGAGCAAACAAAAGACAGACAGATAGACACATCATCTTGCTACTGCTGTTCCAGAACTCAAGACTCAATCTCTTGGCCATCAGGCAAGAAAGGACATTAGAGGAAGGGCCTGAGAATGGAATGATGCTTGAATGGAGGATGAGAAAGATGAAGCTTCTTTCACAGCAGAAGTTCTCAAAGTACTAGAGCAGGAGAACCATCACCTAGGAATTAATTAGAAATGTAAATTTTTAGGCTGCCCCAACCCAGACCTACTGAATCAGAAACCACAATGGCTCTCAAAGTTTAATGGGCATCAGAACCATCTGAAGGGCTCATTAAAACCCAGCCTACTGAGCCTGTTCCCAGAATTTCTGATTCTGTAGGTCTACTGTGGTATCTCATAATTTGCCATTTAAAAAATTCTCAAGCCATACTGATGCTGCTTTCTCAAACCATCATTCTACAGCAAAGGGAACTACTCAATTATAACTCTATGAAACTGCTTCAAATAACTTTCTGGGAACAAAAAGCAGAAATCTAGCTAAGCATTTAAGATACCCTCGATATTCCCAATGGAGGAAGTAAAAACACCCCATAGGGGAGATGTGAATTATGGGGGAGACACATCCTTACCAAGCCATACCAAGTTCCTGTAGTTTTCCAACATGACATCTCTGTATAAATCCTTCTGAGAAGAGTCCAGCCATTCCCATTCCTCTTGGGAAAAATCTAGAGCCACATCCTTGAAGGTCACCAAACCCTGAAATTTAAAAAAAAAATTCTTGTTTGCCAAGTACTCCCATAAGGTCCTAGCAGAAAAGATGAATTCTGCTTCCAGCCAGAGTTCAAAACTCTAAGTGGTCAGAGGGAAATAATTATTGGGAAACAAGTCTGTGCCTAGGTTTGTCAAATATTTTGAGAGAATGAGAAATATTAGAAACAGACTCACCCCTTGAAATGACCACATTTTTGTAAAAGAGAAAAGATAGATACGCAGGAAAAAAAATAGCTTCTAGCATGAAACATGAGTTTATAATATGAACGTATGTGAGCAAATGCTAGGTTTTGTGTTACATATCTGAAGTATCAAGACATTCTTACAGGGAGAATTTCTTTATATTTCATAGACTGGGGTAACAGATGGGTCACAGTAGCGAAGGAAGGCCTTGAACTGGGCTTTAACAAAGGCGTCTGGTCTGAAAGTTAGACTTTATATGTAAGGAGAAACTTCCAGGGATGTATCTTGAAGAAATAATGAAGGATATGTAAAGAGATTAAGACAGAATTTTCACTGAAAGGGTACATAAAAAATCTGGAAAAACTCACATGTCCTAACATTGTATTTAGAGCTCAATTCTTTTTTTTTAATTGAAGTATATAGTTGATTTACAATGTTGTGTTAGTTTCTGGTATACAGCAAAGTGACTCAGTTATACATACATTTGTATATTCTTTTTCATTATAGATTATTACAGGCTATTGAATATTGTTCCCTGTGCTATACAGTAAGTCCTTGTTGTTTATCTATTTTTCACATAGTAGTTTGTATCTGCTAAATCCAAACTCCTAATTTATTCCTTCCCCCACCTTTCCCCTTTGGTAACCATAAGATTGTTTTCTATGTCTGTGAGTCTGTTTCTGCTTGGTACCTAAGTTCATTTGTATCATATTTTAGCTTCCACATACAAGTGATATCATACATTTGTCTTCCTCTGTCTGACTGACTTCACTTAGTATGATGATCTCTAGGCCAGTCATGTTGCTGCAAATAGAACTCAATTCTTGATTCTTATTTCACCCCACCCTGTCTTCCCATCTCAGTAAATGGCATGACCATTTACACAGCTGCCCAGGTCAAAAATCTTTGCAGTCATCCATGATTTCTTTCTTCCTCTCACACTCCACAAACAATCCCTGATCAAATCCCATATTTTTTATCTCCAGTATACACCCTGAATCTCACCAGCTCCAATGCCACCACCACAGGCCAGGCAGCTATCACCTCCTACCTGGATTACTGCAGTAGCCTCCTGATTGGCCTCCTTGCTTCCACCCTTACTCCCCTGCTATCTATCTTCCCATTAAAACATACAGCAAATCACATCACAAACAGTCCAGTGGCTCTCCTTCACCCTTAGAACAAAATCCAACATTATGGTCATGACTTTCAAAGGCTTGTATAATTTAGTCCCTAGCTTCTGCTCTGACCTCACAGTGCTCACTAACCTCTGAGGATACTGGCTCACTTCTATTCCTGGAACACATCAAACATGCTCCCACTATAGTAACTTTATACTTGCTAGTCCTTCTACTTTTAAAGTTCTTCCCCAGATCTCCACAAGTGTACTCCCTACTCTCACTGAGGTTTTCCTTTGCTTTAATGTCACTTCCTCAGAAAAGCCATCCTTGACCTCTCTATTTAATAGGACACTTGATAGTCACACTCTATCCTTTATTTCTCTTGCATACATCTACAACACAACAAATCCTGATCCATCTAAAGAGGAAAGTTCAGTTTCATCACACATTTAAGCAAAACACTGAGTAAAAAAGATACTAAATACTTTATAGAAGGATTATATGAACAAATAGTGGAAAGAGAGAAGTGAAGAGAGTGCTCACTGGGCTATTTGTGACTCTCTGAGGTCCCAAAGTTAAAAAAAAAATGAGGTGAAACTTCTGGAAACAAAGGGAAAACATCAACTTACCTGGGACATGACTTTACACAGTCCAACAGCCATTCTTCCTTCCTTCTTCAATTTTCTCTTCTGGAGAACAGAGTCCTGAGAAGGGAGAGTTAAAGAAGAGGAAAATGGCAGGCCAGCCCCATGGTGCTGATCTGAGACTGACAAGAGTTTTTTGCCCCGTTATGGTCCCAAGTCTCCTTACACGGACCAACCATATCCACTTCCAGATCTGAGGAAAAAAGGCCAAAGCTGAACTTAACCCCTGAAGTCCTGACTGATCTTAAGGACACACAGCCTGACTCAACAAAATCTAAAGTCCACCCTATGCCCGACAAGACAATGTATGATCTAGCCCCAGCTGCCCCTTAGACCTCATTTCCCACTCCTCTCCCACTTACTCACCCTACTCCAGGCACACAGATCTCCGTACAGTTCCTCAAACACTGCGCATACTCCTTTTTGAAGACCATTGCCTTGACTTTGCCTTCTGCCTGCACACGGCACACTCCTGCTCTTCATTCCTATCTGTACTCAACTGCTGGAGCGACCTCCCTATTCTGTCTAAAGAGAACCTCCCTTTCAGTTACTATTTTTCCTTATCTTGATTTACTTCTCTTCTTAGCATTTAACACCACTGGAGATGTAACTTCTCTTTTCTGTTTACTGTTGTCTTCCCAAAGAATAGTATAAGATTTAAGAGAGCTAGGACTTGTTGGGTTCACTGGTGTATCTCTAGTGCTAGAATAATGCCAGAACCATTGCAGATGCTCAAAACATATTTGATAAACAAATAAATAAATCTCACTGTGGCTCCTCTCATATAAACAGCAATGCTACACATGTTGTATATGTCATTGTCTTACTTAATCTTCACAAAACTGCCAAGGTAGGTATTATTATCTACATTTACCAACAAGTGAAACTGAGGTTCAAAAAGCTTAATCAGCTAACTCAAAGCCGTAAGAGTCAAACTGCAGTGTGACTCAAAAACTTGTCCTCTTTTTAAGAGACCACAATGTCCACATGGGCAATAGTCAACATAACCTGAGGATTCAATGCTATGTATTTTTTAGAGAAGCATCTTTGGAAGTGGCACGTGTCACCTTTATTACTCCACAGAAATTCAGCCTGAGGCAAACATTGCCAAATTTCAATACCAAACCAACAATAAACTGCACAGCCTGAAATAAGTTCCTTGCTTTCTTACAGCCAACATTTCTTCATTCTGAAAAGAAGGATAGTTGTATTTGATCTAGAATTTAAGATATACAACCCCCTAATTCTGGGCTACTCTGCACTAGCCAGCTTAATCTCTAAGAAAATTATTTCGTCAGTGCAACGCAGCTTGAAACCGTCCATAAAAGCCTTTGCAACCCCAGAAGAGAATCAATGAAGTCTTCTCAGCATCTGGGAACCCCAAGTAGCTTCTACATAACAGAAATATCTTTTAAATTTCTGTTTTAAATAGCTGTGTATCACTTGAGTGATAATTTTCAAGTTTGAGATGAACCATCAATCTCTGAAGGAAGGTGATGGAAAAGACTTGGGCTTTATATTGCCTCCCTCCCCCAGATGCACACTGACCCTCCATGCTTCCCTCATGGGCTACATGACCTTGGGCAAATCAATCCAACTGTCAGAATCTTTCTTTCCTCACTGTCAGGATTGCTTGAGCCAACTCCTGGCCCAGAGAAGTGCCACCCTTGTTCCCAGTTAATTCTACACAACATTTGAAAAGAAAATAAGAAGTTTTTTTTAAAATTAACTGGAAAAGTCAGAACCAAAAACTTAGCTCACTTGGCATGGATCAGCCTCTCTCTGCACCAAGCATGAAGAGTTTTAACAAAAACAAACCTAAAATCTCAAACTCCGCGGCCTAAGGAGAGGAATACTGGGCTTTCAGGTTAGGCTTTCCTCCTCCCAAGGCGGCCAATATGAGGATGGTCTCACTACAGGGTGTTTAGACTGGGTTCTGTGACTCACAAGGGGACCAAAGGAAGAGACCCAGATTAAATTCCATGTCCAGAAGGTTCCCAGTCCAAGACCACGGACAATCCTCTCCAATACCCTTAGAACCCAGGGCCCCCATTTTTCACTCTCACAACGTGGGAAAAATCAAGAGAGTTTAGTAATTAAAAGCAAGGATCTCTGGAGCCAAATAGCCTGGGCTTAAGTCCCAGTTCTGTCACTCAGTAACTGTGAATGTGGGTGAGTAATGTTGATCTTTCTGTGCCTCACAACCACACACTAGGTCTCACATACGCATACAAATTCACACCCAATCACACACATATATATGGACACACAATCGCAACTGTAATGTCACATACAAAGACAGTGGCATTAAAACAAAAGTAGAGATGACGATACACAATTACTCTAACAGACACAGTCACACACAATTTCATACACAGTGACATACCACACAAGATCACATATCCTGTCACGATTACTCATACAAAATGATACCTGGAGAGATGGTCATGGGCACATAATCACACTTTCTGTCACACACATTCAAACGCCGTTATATCCAGAGACAAGTGGTCAAACAAAATCACACACAGGTAATGTCACACCCGCAGTCTCTCACAAACCCACACACCATAACACAGTTATACCTGCGGAGACAGTCACACCCAAATACACATGTACTCAAAAGAGTTTTACACCGGAGACAGACGGTCACAATCGCGCGTACACACGGTGACACAGAAGCTCACACGCTGTCACACCCGCAGCCTCTCACATAGATAGACGCAGTGACACAGTCTCCCCGGCGGCGCCTGTCTGGTTCCCATCCCGGTCCCCGCCGGTTCACCCCAAGCCCGGCCCTGACCCCCGGCTCTCGCGCGCAGCCAGGCCCAGCTCACCTCCCCGCGCCGCCGCAGGCTCTGGAAACCCGCCCAACGACCCGAGACCCACGACGTCGCCTCCCAGAATCCCCCGCGGGGCGGAGCGGGGCGGGGACTGAGTCGCGAGGGACCCCGCCCTCGGCTGGGGAAACATCCAGATGCAAGCAGCTGGCCGAGCTCGGCGGACCCCGAGCCCCAGAACGCTTTGCGCCTCGGCCGTCTTTCCTTGAATGAACTACAGTTCCCAGAGGGCCCCGAGGCACACCTCGACCTCGCGCCTGCGCCAGAGGCGGCCGCGGCCGCAGGAGCGGGTACCCGGGGAGATGTGTGAGACCCTGGGCGATCTCGGCCACTCAGGTGACCCTGCGCGGCTAGGTGTGAGGGAACAATGAAGATGCGCGCGTCTGTGGCTGGTATTGAATGCTCAGGTGTGGCGATTTGTGTGTAACTGTCGCTGCACACGTTTGTGCTTGCGCATCACCGGGCAACGGGTTCTGTCAATGTCATGAGGCTCTGTATTTTATTTAATTTTTGCCTCTATTTTAAATCACGCCCCGTGATTGTGGGTCGTTGTGTTACACACTGTGGGTCTTTCACGCCGAGAATGTGAGAGCGATTGTGTGTGTGTGTGTGCGCGCGCGCGCGTGCAAGAAGGACTGTGGCTGACTTTGGGCATGACGTTTCTGTAATTGTGTTCTTATCCCAGACATCGCAGTTTTCCCATAACGGGCGTTTCTGGGCTTGCTTTATTTGGGGTTGAGTCTGTAGGAGAAGAGTCATTGTGCGTCTGTGTGTGTACCCATCTCCAGGCCTAACTGTTCTCCCACCCCCACCCCACCCCTGATCCCCAGCCAGGCGCGGGGTCAGTGTTATCCTTATTTTTATATCCCTTCTCTACTTGCCCCTAATTCACATTAGGGGCAAGAAGGGTAATTAGATTCCAGTTGCAGGAAGATGCTCATTTGCACCAAAGCCATTTACAATATAGCCCATCGTTCTGGGGTTTCTTTTGTTGCTGTTTCCAACTTTTCACTTTGTAACTTTAATTAGGGCCCAGCTTTAAGAAAACTGTCCAGTCAGGAGGACAAGAACCCCTGATTGATGTTAAAGTAAACCAGAGCTGAACAGTAATTGAAGGGGTTAAAAAAAATTTTTTTAATTGAACTATCACAATACGGGAAAATAGACTTCAGTGTAGAACTAGGCTCAATTCTAAACATAACAAGAACAAACGGGGATTTACAGGCAAGGAACAAGTTGGGGCTGGAGGGTGGTTGGTGAATGGAAAACTACAAAGAGGAGACATCAAGGGTAGGGAGAAATTCTTGCAAGACTGACCAACAGGATTCTTGCTGAGGGCAGGCCAGAGTGATCAGATATCATGCGGGTGGATGAGGACTTTAATTAGATATTGAAAGTGATCATATATCAAGAACTCTGGCTAAACTGACTGACAGAATTCTTGCTAAAACTGAGTGATGCAAGGACAAACACTGAAGCCCAAGGATGAAGCCTAGTTGAGAAGTGGGTTCAGAGGAGTTTGACTAAAGTTTGGTCAAGGAGAGAGTCTTTGTCAGTGAAAGTTCCAAACAAGCCAACATTCTTCGCTACCCCCAGACCTTGGAAGATCTGGAAGGTGCACCTAAGTCAAGATCTCAGTAAGGAGGGGTACGTGGAAGCAAAAGGAAGTTCCTGAAATAAGAACCCATCCTTGGAGAGTAATCCCTCCAGTCCTCTCCCCAGAAAGAGCCCTCAGATAGCTAAGGCTAGAGAGTCTTGGACAAAGGGAGTCTGGCTACAAGGGCTGAAGTGATTTGAGGTTTCCTCTGTGAAATTGGGCATTGTTACATTCAGAAGAAAGCAAGCAATTATTTCTCAAGGGTCTACAAACATTTAATAGTTGAGTTGCTTTAATGGGGAAATGTATCAGTTAAGTGTTCTTTGGATGATAATTGTGGTTTGGTGCTTGACAAATACATCATACAGCTCTTCCCTGGACTTAACTATCACGCAGGTTAGAGATCATCTTGGATGTTTCATAATAAAGTGCTAGAAATTTAAGATACTCCATAATTGACTGGGAAGGTATACCTTCAGAGAAACTGTATGTGTATAACTATCTCTTCATATATCAGTATTTGATCATAAGAAGACTTTTTGTCCTTTATTTTTCTTGTCTCATACCACCAAGTCCAACACTGGTTTGAGTCTAGTCACCTCCAGTAGAGTAGGACAATGGTCTTCAAAGTATGCCAACTAAGTAAGTGGTTGTACGGCTAAAACAAATTGTCACAGACTCTGTCCATCAAGGTCTAGTCAAGAAAGCAGAACTACACTGGGAATTTCAAGCTGAAGATTTAATTACAGGAAATGGATTACACAATTTTGAAGGACTAAAAGAGCAAAAAGGGGAGAGATTTGTAACTTCAGGAAGCAGCCAACACCCTAGAGCATGGAAAGCAAAGGGGAAGAGATGGATTTACTAGAACCTGAAAGCTCTGAGGAGGCGTCACAGCCTGGCTGTTAACTAGGCTTGGTAGTTTGGTGCTCGGAAAGCAGAAGGACTCTGCAGGCACGTGAGGAAATACTGCTAGAGATATGCTAGATGTATCTAGATACTGCCAGAGAGATACTGAAAGAACTGGAAAATAGGAAGCAAGTTCCTTCTCCCTTTCTGCCTCCTCAAATCCCTTTAATGCCTCCATTGGCCAACTATAACAGGAAGCCAGCTAGCAAGGGAAAAGTCTTTGTCAGAGTTCCAGTCCTAGCATCACAGAATAGAGAAAGGCATGCTTGAAGCTGAAACAATGACATGGAAATAATCAGCACGTGAGCCTTTTTTAATTGCTAGGAAATAAATTAATATAATTTTCCAAGTTTATTTTTCTTCCCAGTCCATTTTCTCAATACTATTTCTACTTCCTTACAAAGGAATCCTATTAGATGACAAAAAGGGCTCATATTTTGTAATGGTATCTTAATAACAAAGCAATACAAATTCTGAAATAGCTTACATCTACTTTAATATGTAATTATTTCAATGCACTCATGATTTTACCTATTTTGTAATTTTTATAATAAATATACATTTACCAATGTTATGTTATTATCAAAATAAATATTTCATGGTGAACCACTAATTGCCCTCATGACTTCAAAGTGAGAATCATGTATGTAATTTGTTTTGTAAACTATTATGTACATTATTTTTTTAATTGAGGTATAATTGACTTATTGCATTAGTTTCAGGTATACGATGTAATGATTTGATATTTGTGTATGTTGCAAAATGATCACTACCATAAGTCTAGCTAACATCCAATACCGTACAGACAACAATTTTTTTTCTTGTTATGAGAACTTTTAAGGTCTACTCTCTTAGCAATTTTTAAATATGCAATACACTATTATTAATTATAGCTACCATGCTATATATTATATTCTCATGACATTTTATTTCAGAAATGTGTACCTTTTGACTGCCTTCACCCATTTTGCCCAACCCCCACACCCTGCCTCTGGCAACCACCCAGCTGTATTCTGTATTTATGAGTTCTGGTTTTTTAGTTATTTCTTATTAAAAGGCAGTAGTTCTTCTCTGAATTCAGAGTAAAGTATCCCTATCCACTGAAGCCAGGTTGCTCTAGGTCTCCAACATCACACCCTTGTACAAGTCCCTCTGAGCAGGGTCCAGACATTACCACTCCTGAGAGAAGTCAATGGAAACATCACTGAAATTCACCAACCCGTGAAATGAGAAACCTTTATGAATATGATCGTGCATACCACTGTTATCACAGAGAAAACTTTTAATTAAGGGCATTAATAAAAAGTCTTAATTTAAGCATTGTCTATGGTAGTGTTCATGGTATTAACTGCTCCAACAAAAGTCTATAATAATCCTAGTTTTTAAAACTCTACCTTAACTACATTGGTTACTATATTTTAAAGAACAAAGATATTTTATACATATGAATAAAGAGCAAATGACAAACAAAACTAAAGATTTAATAAAAAATAAAAGTGTATATTATACACCCTGAATGCTTTAAAATTCCTTCACATGGGAGATGAGGGTGGCCTATCGTGCAGACTGGCATTCAGCCAGTCTAAATTCCAGGGTCAAATCCCATTATTCCTCAAGGAAAGTAACTCCTGGCTCACTGTCATTTACTCCAACCCAACTCCTGTCTTAATTCATGGAGATTTCAAGATATAACTAGATACATGTTTTATTAACTTGATCTATCAATTCAATAACCTCTCATCCCCCTATATTCTCATCCTATTGACTACCTCAGCCACTCACCCTATATCATTTGTTGTATTTGTTTGTTATTATTAACAATTTTCCATAATCTCAATTTTAAGTATCCAACACTGATTTTTTTTCTTTCTCAGTCCCGAAAACCTTAACTGAAACGACTTCAACCATCCCGCTGAGATTTTCAGTTCACTGCTCCAACCATGTTTTCACTGCCTAAAACACCCCTAATTTTCACTCCCCTCCTTACCTATCTCAATGTCCATGTTCCATCATTTCAATTACCTACTCACATCTTCAATCCCCTTATTATGCTCGTTTCATCACATTCATCTTGCAAAAATATCAATCTCTGATTGCAAATTACTGATTTTTCAATTATTTGATATTTTGATTATTATTATTGATTACTGATTCCTGATTCATGCCTGCAGCTGCTACACTGCATATGACTGAAGAAAAACAAGCAAGCAGGCTTTTCTCACCTGAAAGCGATGGCTCCCAGTGCTTTCCCCAAAACACACTCTATTTTATAGTCCAGTAAGTTTCCTACTCCCACTGACAAATATTTAACATATTCTTAGCTTGCCTGAAACCCCCAACAACTCGCTGTGGTGGAGGAAATATGGCCACGGAAATTTGAACACTCCTCCCACTGATGGAGTCTGTCTCCTGTTCAGTTGTGACTGCTCTGACCGCCAGGCTGCGCTGGGAGTGACACTATGTCAGTACCAGCACTAAACTA